ACATGCTCTCTCCATCTTTCTTGTAAGCTCTCTTTAGGTACTGCACAGTTGGAATTACCCCAAAGCCTCCTCTCCTCCAGGCTGAACAATCCCAATTCTCCCAGTGTTTTCTCAAAGGAGAGGTTTTCCATCCCTCTAATCATCCTAGTGGTCCTTCTCTTGACTAGCTCCAACAGGTCCATGCCTTTCCTGCACTGAGGAAGATAGAGAAGAGTGCAGCACTCCAGGCTGGGTCCTCATAAGAGTGGAGTGGAAGGGAGGAATCTCCTCACTGAAAGTGCTGACCATTTCTTTTGATGCACTCCAGGACATGTTTGGCTTTCTGGGCTGTGAGTGCCCATGGCTGTGTCATGTCCAGCTTCTCACCCACCAGCATCCCCCAAGTTCTTCTTGGCAAAGGGAAAGGGCCGCTCTCCATTTGTTCACGCCCCAGACTGTGTTTTAAGGGGTTGTCCCTACCCAGGTACAGCACCTTGCCCTTGGTCTTCTTGCACTTGCACTTAGTGCAGCAAGTTTCTCTTGTGCCAAGTGGGAAAGTGGGAAATAAGTGGGAAATTCCTATAGGCCCACTTCTCAAGCTTTTCCAGGTCCCTCTGGATGACGTCCCAGCTTTCAGGTGTGTCAACAGCACCACTCAGCTTAGTGTTGTCTACAAATTTGCTGAGGGTGCACTCGATCCTTTTGTAAATGTCATAAATGAAGATATTTGCTAGTACTGGTGCCAGTACAGACTCCTGAGGGACACTACTTGTCACTAATGTCCATCAGGACTCTGAGCTATTGGCCACTACTCTTTGGATGTGACTGTCCAGCCAACACCTTATTCATCCAACAGTCCACCTGTTGAATCCATGTTTCACCAAATTAGAGAGAAAGACATTGTGGGGGACTGTGTCAAAGGCTTTACAGAAGTCCAGGTAAATGACATCTGTAGCCCTTCCCTTGTCCTCTGGTGTAGTCACTCTATCACAGAAAGTCACTGGGTTGGTCAGGTGGGACTTACCCTTGGTGAAGCCCTGCTGGCTATCCCAAATTATCTTCCTGTTTTCTTTGTGCCTTAGCATAGCTTGTAGGAGAATCTGTTCCAGGACTTTGCCAGGCACAGAGGTGATGCTGACAGTTTGGTAACGTCCAAGGTCCTCCTATCTAACGTTTTAAAGATGAGTGCAGTGTTTCCCTTTTTCCACTCACCAGGGACTTCCCTTGACTTCCATGACTCTCCAGATATCAGGAGATTGACTTGTCAACTATATCAGCCAAGTTCCTTAGAACTCTGATATGTATCTCATCAGGCCCCAAAAACTTGTGTATGTTCATGTTCCTCAGAGGGTCATGAACCTGATCTTTTGGGAGGGAATTTTCTCTGCAGTCAAGAAATGTGGGGAAAGAGTTTGCCATTAAAGAATTAGTAACTAAGCTTTCTCCTTGTCCATTGCTACTAGGTTTCCAGCATTTTATACCAGAGGTGATCCATACCCTTTGACCTCCCTTTTCTGGCTGACATCAGTTCTTAACTGCCTGGAACCTCATACACTGGGAACAAACCTTTGTCTATTGGAATGTGTTTCTATATGTGATGTGGTTTAGGAATGGTGTTCCCCAATTTAGTGCTCCCACTCAAAATATACCAGACAATGTGCTGCTCTCTCACTGTCTGCCTTCCCCTGTAGCAGGATCAAGAGAAGAATGGGAAGCAAAAGGTAAAGATCATGGGTTGAGATAAGAATGATTTAGTGGAAACAGCAATGAAATTAAAAAAAAATAAAATAACAGTGACAACAATACTTATAATAGTGTACAGGACAGGTGGATGATTCACACGTGATCGCTCATTATGATTTGGAGTTATCTGACTCTGCACTCCAGTAAACTGAAAAAGACAGGTGTGACTACCTCACCATGTGCTGAGGTGAATAGCCTCGGGCTCTGGCCATGGTCCTACTGGCTGCTGTAAAGGCAACCCTATTGACTGGCCAGAATAAGGACATCTTAGTACGTGGGGACCATGACATGTCCACAGAACCTTCCCCATGTCTCTGCCTTAGGTAAGTTTTTTTTTGCGTGTTACGGGGCTGGTCTTTCAATGCCTTTCACAGATACGCACATACTTATGGAAACACTGGAATTTCACAAATTCTATTGAAGTAGGACAGCTTGAGGTCATAAAGATCAATACACAACAACTCCAGATGAAGTGCTTTTGCATGATTTAAAATGAATAAATTCTTTATGAGCATTCATTTTAATATTAGTCACAGAAATTATTAAAAATGCAAAGCCTTTAAAGCTATTTTCATCAGTGTTACTTAATCAAACCAGTATTTTTTTTGCAACTCTGTCTTTATCTTGGAAAGGAAAAAAATGTAAGGAATACAAAAATTCAATGTGTAGCTGTTGCCATGGATTTTATGTAGAAGTCAATTGTGTGCCACATTGATTACTGCCAGCACAAAACCCTAGATAAATTGGGTAAGTTGGAAAACATACTATGCTAATATTTCTTATGACCTCAGCATTTTTCCCCAGACAATTTTAATGAAACATGATAGTTTAGATCTTTATTTTTCTCATTATTCCTTTTCTGAAAAGTTGGCTTGTTCTTGCAGGAGAAGCTTAATGCCAACAATATGGGGCATCAGGTGGTAATATTTGACTTTTCTGTCATAAGAGGACTGTGGGAGACTCGAGTTAAGAAGAACAAAGAACGTCAGAGGAAGGAGAAAGAAAGATTAGAACAAAGTGCATTGGAGAAGTAAGACAACTCTTGTGTTGTTAATTTTAACCAAATCTGTTCTTATTATCCATTAACATTGTCATATGCTAAATATAATAAATGGAAATATGTATATATAATAAATATTATTAATACACTAAATAATAATTGTTGATTATTAAAATTTTGGGGTTTGGGTTTGATTTCAATGACATCTTGTTTACTCTCCTCACATGATAGTAAGAGAAATGCAGCACAAAAAATAGTTATGTTTCATTAGTTTCTGCTCTTTCTTATGTAGACTGTAATATATTAATGCTAAATTTTATTGTTTACCATAGACATAAATTGAAGAGAGAAAAACCATGAATTTGTACCTTTCTATTTCTCATATGCAACATAAAATTATGGATTATTAATTACAGAATTTGTGAACACACGTTCATAAGTTTCAGTACTAAGAAATACTTTAAGTCTTTTGTTACATTGACAGGAGAAAGAAAAGGAGTTAAATTAGTGGACACATTAGATTGCTTCTGAATAGGTAATAGCAAAGAGAACAGGAATTGTTAGGTTATTTTTTCTTGTTGGGGTATTAAAAAAAAGCCTTGATTATAATGCTTACACACAAATATAATTTTATAGTTTTTATGATATTGAATTTATTTTTTCTTTAAGCAATATTTTGCTTCCCATAAGAGACTGTTAAATATTAAACTGTGTTGGCAAGTTTGGAAACATATGACTTAGCAATTTCCTCCCTCTGAGAAGAGAAAAAAATAGTAATCACTTTCTGTTTTAAAAATAAAATGCACAGGGTTAAACAGTGCCCTTGTACATAATTGCATTGACACTTTGTGTGGTGTTTCAGAACTCTCAGGATATCCTCACTAGTAGATTCTCACTGCCAGTGCAGCTACACTGACAACAGAGCAGATGGTCTAAGAGGAGACCAGGGTAATACAAAGTCTGACTGTCCTTTCCATGGGACCTTTCTCTTCAAAACAGACGTAGCAGCAGTCTTGGTTTCTCCATCTCCACCTAAGCTTACATTAAAAACTTTAAACCTAACTAAAAAAGAAGAAAAAAAAAGGAAAAAATAAGTTCAGGTTGAATTCTCTAGCAAGGATAAGCTTTCTTTTTGGTGTGAGCTGTGTCCTGGTTTCAGCTAGGAGTGAGTTAGTTTTCTTCTTAGCAACTGGTACAGTGCTGTGTTTTGGATTTAGTATGAGAATAATGTTGATAACACACTGTTGTTTGGATTGTTGCTAAGTAGTGCTTAGGCTAAGCCAAGGATTTTCCAGCGTCTCATTCTTTTCTAGTGAGGGGCTGAACAAAGAGCTGGCAGGGAACACAGCCAGGACAGCTGACCCGAATGTGATATTCCATGCCATAGAACTTTTTTCTTGCTGTATAAATTGGTGGAATTGTCCAGAAGCGAGTGATTGTTTCTCAGGAATCAGCTAGGAGAGGATCAACAGGTTGTGAGCAGTTGTATTCGACATAATTTATCTTGGGTTTTCTTTCTCTTTTTTCGTCATTATTATTGCCATTATTATTAATATTATTAGTATTGTTATATTTTAATTTGTTTCTGTTATTGAACTATTCTTAACTCTATGCAGAAGTGTTGCCTTTTTTCCTGATTCTCCTGCCCATCCCACTACAGGGTTGGGGAGAAAATGTCTATGTGGTATTGGTTGCCATCTGGGGCTAAACCATGACAGCTGAGAGATGGATGTTTGCTGTTTCCCTTATGGTAGAAAACACAAGTGAAAGTCCTAATGTGGACAACATGTCAACATACCCCTTCCACTTTTTTCTTTTTGTTTTTGGTTTCCTGTGGTGCAGATGATAACTTCTGAGTTCATTAGTACAAAAGCAATTAATGCATGATAAGTTTTCCCTCTTAAGAGGGAAAGAGGGTAGCCTTATGTTCTCTGAGGTAACTAATATGAGCCCCCACGGCTTTTGTCAGTAGCATATGTTAAGAATAAGTTCATACAGTGACTTGTCTTTTCCATGAAAACATGAAAATGCATTCTCCCTATTTTTTTTGCCTGCAGTTAATTGCTATTATTGCTATTATTGGACACACTTCCATCTGAAAAAGTGGGGCTTCACTGCTTTTTATGCATTTTTTCCCACTAATGACATCTAAATTCATGCTCTTATCTTCCTGTATCACTCAAAGATAGGAAATTTGAGATCTAGTGCACAGAAATAAAAGTTCCCAGGTGCATTTGCCACATGCAGAAAGAATTTTTGTTTTCTTCTTTTAATTGCAGTTTGTGTATTGTACTTTGTATGGCTGCATGTTGTCATGCATTCAGATTGTTTTCCAGTTAGTTCTACTTTTAGAGCTCCTGGAAAAAAAAAAGAGGAAATACATTAGACTTTGTCTCCTGAAAATGATTGATCAGTATTACACCCTCTGAAACAAATGGCAAAGTTCATGTTCATTCTCATGGTGCAGCCTTGTAGAATGGTCAAAGCTGATAGAATAATGGTCAAAGTAATAAGAATATTAGTAATAAAATGCCAAATTCAGCTAAAAGAAAATCTTCTTTGTTTTATGAGGTGTGCAGTGACCGCTGGCATTTAGGTCCTAAATGTCAGCTCCCAAGTTATTTCTTTAGTGCTTTTCAGTGGTCTCAAATGTTAGACCAAAAATATGAGAAGATTTTGCTGATTTTTAGCTTGAAAATATAGATAAAGTTGTATTTCTAATTAAATAAAAGAAATAATGATTCCATTTCATTATTTTATGGACCTCTGCATTGACTAAATTCACGTATCATACTCAGGGATTAAAATTTTAGTATTGTCAGGTAGGTCTAGTGAAATCAATGCAAGTTCATACTGTGCCACAGTAAGAAAGATTTTAAAAATACTTTTATCCAAAATGAAAATTCCCCAAAGGACATTTAGAGAGGGCACTTTCCTGAAATGAGGACAGCATTCTAGTGTTTAAGATTCTTGATATTTTCTTTTGACAGAAGTCAGAGTGAATTCCTAAGAAGGGTTAAAAATAATGTTTCTCTGCAAATACACTCATGGAACAGAGTTTGGAATCTGGCCTTTGGGGCTGTTTTGTTTTTTTCTTTTTTTAAGCAAAACCCAATTTTTCTCAAAGAGGTTATAATTTGCTAATGGCTTTGAGATTGTGCAGTTCTTTTATATGCTGTGTTGCTATGTAAAATGACCTGATAATATGCAGTGAAATGCAGTGTGTATTATTCCAGAACAAATTCCCAGTTAACCTCTAGGGAGCTTTGTTTGCCTTAGGGCAAGGTAATTTAGTTCGTGCAGCCTCATTAAACAGTAACTTGTAAGATAATTTTTCACTGAAGATTTTCTTAAGAGGAAAATCTCACAAATGAATGAAAAGCTTCAACTGTGCATTAAAGGTGAGGACTTGTAAAAATATTTGTTTACAAAGCAGATGTTTCAGCAACTGGCCAGTGAAAGCTAATTCTAGACAACCAGCTACTGAGAATATTGGCCTTCTGAGGTACTGGTATCTGATAAATTTTTTTGTGGATTAATTCAGTCCTCTGTTTCCTCTTTGGTTTCGTGGGACTGTAAAAGTATTGCAGTTTAAAGAACACATGTAAACCAGCAACTGAATATAAAAGAAAAAGAAATAGAACAGTGTTGTGGGTAGACTTATTTTCATTTTATGTCATGCTTTTGATCCTGTCAGAAAACCCCATTGGAAACCTTCCATAGCATATGGACCACAAACTCATACAAAAAGTGTACAGTATCTTGAGAGCTCCTATATGTTGATGAAAATGCTTACTATGGAAAGAAGTTTGTGTTTACAGCACTGTTTTATATCTAATCTTCTAGGTTCTGGTAGTGGTGAAAAATCTTTTATTGTTCACAAAAATCCTGAATGTTGTTAGATGATCCTGATGTGGTATGATGGTTTTCTGCATTGATATTTCTTTATTACTTGTCTCTCTCTCTTTTTAATTTTATTTTTTAAACATTATCTTTTATTTTTTAAGGGAATAAGAGTGAAAGCGTAAAGTTAGATTTTTTTTTTTTTTTAAGGATTGCAACGTTTGTTATTTGTGTGAAAAGCAGGTAAGATAAATCTGAAAGCTAACAAGTTAAGGATTCAAGTGAGGAAATGCCAGAACTGTTTGTCCAGATTAGTTATCTAAATCTTTGCTGTGAAATGGCAATGAGCCTCCTCTGCTCACCAACAAGCATGCAGCAAAAATAAAAGTTTGTTCAGATCCCTCTTCCAGTGTCTCTACTCCAGAAATTTCTTCCCAAAGTCTGGCAAATTAAATGTGCATGTATTATATTTTGAGTTATATACTTCCCAAATATTAAAAGTAAAAAGCAACAAGAAAACCACACTTTGCAGGCAGACTGACTTTTCTTCCCTGAAAGGTTACTTATTTGTTTAGTAGAAGGGATTTGTCTCTATTTCTCTGCCAAACTTCAGTGTTATAACTCTACTTGTACCTGAACTAAGATCTTATGTTATGTTTATCTTTATTGTCCTACTCAATACCCAATGCAGAACTTTTTCTATGCTAGTCTGAAACTGAAGCTGGGAGTCCCTTAGCCCCAAACACAAATTATAGTCAACAATTTTGTTTTCCATCTCCAGGACAAATAAGTATACTAAGTTATTTGCCTTTGTTTGTAGGTGCTTTTGCATAGAGACCATGCATCTAAAGTAATGCACAGACATGCATTGTAAGATGAAAGCTGCTGTTCAGCCACAATCCTTTAAAATGCTCGAACGAGTCTGGCACTGATATGGAAATTGGATCAATCCAATTGAATTTGAAGCAAATGTTACTCATCCATCAGCAATATTATTCTGGGCTGAGCTCCAATTTTACTGTGATCTCTTCTAAAAATTCCGTAGGATTATTTAATGATCCTGCTCAGATAGTGATTCTGATTTAAACAGTGCTCAGGAGCTCTAAACTGGTGTCACCATGTAGTGTCCCAGTCAATTCTTGAGTCCTGGTTTAGAGGAAATAGTGCCATCTAACGAAACTTCCTTTCCTTACCTAGGAATCTCTACGTTCTCCCAAGAGCTTCTAATCAGACATTGGCCAGAGGGTACCTGTTGAAGGAAGAACAATTGAAATAAACCCAGTTACTCCCACTAGTTTTGATGGCTATGAAATCCCTACCAATGCACACTTCTTTTCCAAGCTGGTTGTTCCTTTGAAAGGTCCAATAAATGAGTTTCTTGTAGAATAATTCTTTGCATCAGGTTTATTAGATTCATAATTTTGTTGGAGAAAATAAAATTTCAAGCAGGGAACTCCCATGTCTTTGAAAAGAAATACATATAAAAATAATAATAAAAATATATGCCATGAATCTTTATTTCTGAAGGTATGGTCCAATAGTGAAGTAGCCCTTGGGAAATGATTACCTGAAGAGGAAAAAGACACAAACCAGAATGAAAATACTTGAATCTGCTATTTCCCTGCTGATCTTATTTCATAACTGTAGAGTATTGTCCTGAAAGCTTACTGTAAAAAGGCAATATATTGGAAAATAACTTGCCAGAGTAAAATTTCTCTATACCACATACGTCTGCCAGGTGTGCTTTTTTGTTACAGATATATAGGTATGAAACTTAACTTTTCTTTTTTTTTTTTTTTTACAAACATAAATAGCATGCAACCAGTCTTTTTAAAAACTAGTGGGACTATTTGTATGATTGAAGAGGAAATACTGTAACAGTTAGCTGAGTTGAAACCTTAGAGCTCATCTGGGCCCTTTGTCCAAGAAAAATATTTTTTGTGTTCATACTCTCACCTAAATTTGGCTTGACTTCACTATCTTCAAATTTCTTACTACTGAAAATAATTGTTGTTTCTTTAATATGATTTCAACAGTTTGATCAAGGCCTAGAGGAAGATGAAAATATTTTATTGTTAAATAGTATTAAAAAGACATAAACCTCAGGAGAGCTGTGTTTTTATAACTTATTTGTCCTATGTGGAAATGTATTTCTGGAATATCAGGTGTCTTTAAAGTGTCAGGACCAGAAATTTAATTTCACTAAAAGTATATTAGTATTCAAAAGATTTATTATTAGTGTGGACTTTTTTTTTTTTTTTGCCTCACTGGTTTAGAGGCCTTTACTTTTAGATTCCTTTCTTGAAGATCCATGTAATAGCCTCCAGATATGACAACCATGGTGGAAATTCTAATTTGAGGATTATCACCAAATGAAGACTGGAAAAGGTCTTAATTTTCACAATGATCCCTTAAAAAGTACCATCAACCCAGTGTTTTAACAATGACAGAGCAGAATGACAACCATATAGCCAAGTAGATCTCTTTGGCTTGGTCTCAGCTGAACCTGCAAATTTACAGCTTTGTCATCTTTTCTTCATGATACACACTGGTTTGATATAAGCTGCTACTCCAAGCCAGTAAGGTTTGTGATGATTATTTTGGGTAGTGTGTAGCTCGAGGGTACAGCCAGGTGTTGTAAATTATTAGACCCTTTACCCATGGGAAATATAATGTTTTCATTCTGAGATGTACTGTACAAAATTATGCACTTTTGTTGCTCCATTATTAATTCACCTTCCATCTGTTCAAAATGTGCTTGTACACAACACTTGCATTCTTTAGAAGCCTAACAGAGCACTTTACCATAACTTAATGTATGAGTAAAAAGGAAATTTGACATAGGATTTCCATATCAGTGTGCAATATGCATGCTGAATTCCCTAGCAGGTTTAATTTTAACCCTTCTCTTTATTCTGAGGTAAATATTTCACTGACTGATTTGCTCAACATCGATTTTTGTTGTATGCATTTTATTTCACTTGGCTAGCAATGGCCTCCTGAGTTTTGTGCTTTGTGCATGTTATCAGCAGACTGTCAGAGGGCAGTTTGTTTTTTCAGCTTTAATGTAGCTCCCTTTTTACCATTTTTTATATTTCTTGTTTTGACAGAGTAAAATTTTAGACTTGAGCCCTCTACTCTAGTGTTCCTGGGGTCTACCTGACAGAGACAGTGCTGATGGGTAGTAATGCAGCTGACTTTTTATTGAATTAGACTTTTTGACCTCTTCTTTCTGTTGTTTAGGTTTCTAACATTCTTATAATTTATACAGTGAGGAATGAGTCAGCAATTTTTTGGGCTTGAAAGAAGAGCAATGAATACAAAAACTTCCCCATTTTGTGGGCAAGCATTTTCAGTGCACTAAATTATGCACTGAGTGAAATATTTATTCCTTCAACAGAAAATGGAGGAATTCCATAGAAATGAGAGGGTAGTAATGCAGAGTTAAGCTTCACAGAAGGAAAGAAAAGATCTATGTGGAAGACTGGAGAGTGTGAGAAAAAGCAGAACAGCAATGTTAAATAAAATTTGGAATATTTAAAAAGAAAAGAATTCTAGATGTTTTATTCTATGGTCCTTATCACTCCTGCCTTTTAATTGCTCAGATAACTTTGTTCTCTTCCTTGAAATTCAGTTAATACCATACCACTTCACTTCCTAGCTGTAGAGAGCTTTTATAGCTGTATAGCTACACTCACTCACTGGTACACAAGTTTTGGAACGAAGTATTGAGTAGGTGGTTTGGGACTATTTATTTTTTCTTATAAAACATGAAAATATTGTTTTGTAGCTTTTTCTAGCAATCTCTTGCTATTACAATATCCACACTCTGTTGTCTTGGCAATTTCTGGAGTACAAATGGCAGATTGAATAGTTAAGATCAATACTAAAAATTGCATTGGCTCTTGTGTCAAAGCATCTGAAAGGTTTTTTTACTACCATGTCTGCTGGTAGTTAAAGTATGGGAAAGTGTCATCTGAGCGCTTCTAGAGTGCAGCTGGTGGGGATATCCTTAGTAGGGCTGCTTAGTGATATCAGGTGTTCGGATATCTCTCCCTCTGTAACAGAAAATTTGGAAATATTAACAGTAGCTTGTTGACATATCACAGTGTGGGCTAAGGAGCCATATCTACTTTAACCTATTTTCTTGTCTTTGTCATATCAAGTAAATTTATGCAAGATTTGTGGAGATACTGTGCACAGTTGGTAGACTCTTCCTTGACTGTGTTAACACCTTTAGTCCACACTAGGGATGTGCTGGGCTGAATGTTTTTCTGTCTGTCCTGTCTATTTTTTCTTAACTTACATATCACAGCTTGAATGTATGAAGTATGGAATATTCCACAATGCAGTAGACACTGAGAGAAACTGGGAGATGTATTTCAAATGTATTTAGTATTCTCAAACCTCTTCTATTGATACTTTTACTACCAGGAATTCTTCCAGGTGTTGTCTTGTGACATGTACTCTGATCTCTCTAATGAAAACTGAAGCCAAAAATGAATAACATTTCTGCAGCTATCAATAACTTCTATAATTATTCCTTTATTTCTCCTTTCATATTTTGAGAAGTTATTGTTCCCCTCATCTCTGTGAAGCTTCCTTCATCTGATATGCTACAAATCCTTTTCCTACTCATTTGTATACCTGCAGTAACTTCATTTGCTCTTTTGATGTTTATCAGAGTTCTGTTTTCCTTCTAATTTTTTTCATTTGAAGATATATACAATTTTCTCTTTTAAAAGATATTTCTGTAATTTTTGGAATAAGGGATAAAGAGATCCTTACTGTCTTTTCATTAGAATGCACTTCATCTGAATTTGTGCAGTCTTCATATACTCTGTCAACACTTTATCTAGTGAGCTGCTTTTTAACCAACCTCACTCTTAATTCACCTCCTGAAATATTTGTAGAAGGTGCTTTTCTGTACTTTCCCTTTATAAAGATGTCACCTAGGAATACATTGCTGTCATTTTTACTGAAGGGGCTTTTTGCAGTTCTCTTGTGTTCCATGTGTAGTGTGCTGCTCCTTGAAACTCTCCTCTGGTGGCCCCTTAGGCTTCCTCCTCTGATAAATGATTGCATGTATTTTCTGAAAGTGTGGAAAGTGCCTGCAGTATGTCCGTGTGCTCTGTGTCTCTGCCATTGCTGTGCTCTCTGCTTCCAAGTCTTTCCAAAATCCCCTGAGATTTCTGTAAGTGGCACAACTGTATCAATATCTTTCTATCTAGGCATGCAGTTTTGCTGTCTAAAGACTTACTTTGATAGCATTAAGTCAATTATGACTTTTCATCTGTATTGTATTTTCAATCTGCTATTGTATTTTCATAAGAGTGCTCTGCACTGCAGTTTCATACCTTGTTATGGGTGTCCAAAAATTATTTATTTCAAAAAGACTTTGGGGCATGCTTCTTGTACCTAACTTTGTAACTTGTTTCTTGTATGTGACTTAGAACCAGACATTCTGGTTTTAATCCTGACAAATCTGGGGGCCTTTTATGATGGACCCATGGCATTGGTGGATAGGAGCAAAGCAACTGACATAATCAACCTGGACTTACACAAAGCTTTCAGTGCTGTCTCTCATGACTTTTGATTCTATATAGGGGGTCATGTATTTGATGGATGGACTGTCTGGTGGATAAAACTTGGCTGGATGGCCACATGCAAAGCGTAGTGGCCAGTGGATCAATGACCGAGTGGAGACCAGTGATGAGTGGTGTCCCTCAGGAGTCAGTGTTGGGGCTGATGCCACTCAGAATCTTTGCTTTGGTGACATGGACAGTGGGATTGAGGGCACCCTCAGCAAGTTCACTAACAACACCAAGCTGTGTGGTGTGGTCATGCTGGAGGGAAGGGATGATATGCAGAGAGACATGCTTTGAGAGGTGGGTTTGTGGGAAACTCATGGAATTTAACAAAGTGAAATGCAAGGTCCTACACCTGGGTCGAGGTGATCCCAGACATATCCACAGAGCCAGTAATATGTTCACAGCTCAGAAAGCAGCTGCGTCCTGGGCTGCATCAAAAGCAGGTCAAGGGAAGCGATTCCATTCCTCTTCTCATTTGAGACTCCACATCCAGCTCTGGTGCTCTCAAAATAAAACAACATGGAATTGTTTGAGCAAGTCCTGAGAAGGCCATGAGATTGATAAGAAGACCAGAGCATGAAGACAGGCTGAGAAAGTTTGGGTGGTTCAGCCTGGAGAAGAGAAAGTTTCTTAGAGATCTCATAGCAACCTTCCATTA